AAATATAAAATTTATGTATGTATAAATTTTGACTCTATATACATACACACACGCGTATGTATATATGTATGTATTATCATCTTTTTCCTTTTTGGTGTCTTAATTAATTCCGTACGTACCTGTGCATACACCTAGATTAGCAGAAAGAGATTGGATTATAAGAACATAGATCATTCCAATCAGAACCACCCACAATAACTGCAAAATTAACAAAACCAGATTTTCATAAAAAAAAAAAAAAACAGATTAAACTCAAAAGAGCATATTTTCTTTCTTTAAAAAATGTGCTTTGATTGATTTCCTTGTCCTCTTTTTGATGTTTGTACCTCGTATCCGTAGCTACCTCCGCCTTGCAAAGCGGTTTCCACTGTAATATGATCACGTTTGATGGTTAGAACTAGAGACTTGAGATAATTAAATAGCCATACACACATATATATATACTACATATCCTAATATACTTAGATCGAGTTTGAGATTTATTGATTTCAATACTTGAATTCTCAGCATATATATGAGAAAAAAAAGATCATTATCCTTATTTTAGAGAAGATTGTAATTAACTGGATACGATTAAAAAAGGTTTGGAGGGACTTACTATTGCCAGGATCTATATAAGCCATGGAGACAAGAAAACCAGGGCCTACATGGGACAAGAAGTTTCTCCATCCAGGTTTCTATATATATAATCATGAAAAATATAAAACGAAAGAACTTTAGATGTCTGAACTCGATCAAGATGAAGTAATTAATATTACTGATATTATTTATTTTCATATGATGAATGAAGAGACCTGATCATTTGGGTTTTCTTGGTCGTGACCATCGAAGCGTTTGCTGCTGTTGTTACTGGTGAAGGACGTCGGCGGGCTGAGTCCTTCCACGTTGAGAGCCACTATGCGGTTGCTCCCTCTGCCCCATGATGGTGGCCTGGTCGTCACATCAGCCTCCTCGCGTTGCTGCTCCAAGCTGGCCATTATCTCTCTAGATCTCTCAATTCGTTTAGGAATTAAAAGCTAGAACGAAAATCTGATAATGATCTTTATTTACAATGAAAACGTGAAGAAGCAAGGGATTTAACTAAAAATTTAAAGTTGTCACTAACTGCCCTCAGCATTACCTAACCTCCAGATAATTTTTAGAGTCCTAATTAAACTCCAAGTGCACATAGATATATGACAACTGTGTTCTTGTTCTGACCACGTTAACGTTTATTTCCGATCATTAATTTATGTTATCTGCAATAGAATTAATCGCGTTCACACGTATGTAATCCAATCGGAGTACAGTTGGTTCATAGGTAAATATATGGTGTCTAAGATAAGTACTGTCTTGATGCATATATAACGACTAGTTTAGTACGGATATGCATATAATATATGTCGATTCATTAAATTCATCCGCTGAACTAAGCAAGTTTTCCAAGACTTAATTCTTTTTACTTTATAATTTAATTCCGTGGGGACTAGTGCAGTTCTGAGTGCTAAACTTTTACATGGGGCCCAGCGAGAGTGGAGATTTTGGGGCGGACAAGTGTGGATTCCGGTGTGCTCAACCGGACGATGAATCGACACCTTGTAACGTCGGTGATGGCAACCGTAGCGGCTAAGCAGAGGGAATTGGAGGAGGTGGTGGCAAGTTGGGGTTACAATTTGGGGGGTAGGGGATGAGGAATTTTAGCAGCACGGTGCGGAGGTTTTGCGTGTACTGGCCTGGTGTGGTTTTATTCTTTTCTTGACTTTTTGGGGTGCCATAATTTTTATCTAATTTATCTTCCAAGGTCCAACTTTGAGCAGAA